GGAAGTGGCGCTGTAGCTCAAGTGGTAGAGCGCTTGCCTTGAGCTGAAGAGCTGAGGGACAGCGCCCAGGCCCAGAGTTCAAGTCCCACAACCGACAAAAAAAAATCTACAGCCAGAGGCAGGGAAGTTGGCTCAGTGGTAGAGTGCTTGCCTCGCATGTTTGAGGCCCTGGGTTCGATTCCTCAACACCACATGAGCAGAAAAATCTGGAAGTGAAGCTGTGGCTCCAGTGGTAGAGCACTAGCCTTGAGCTGAAGAGCTGAAGGAAGTGCCCAGGCCCAGAGTACAGGCTCCACGACCGACAAAAAAAAAAAAATCTACAGCCACAGCTAGGCTTGAAAAGAATGCTAGGCACTGATGGGCTCACCTGTAATCCTATCTACTCAGAAGGCTGAGATCTGAGGATCATGGTTCAAAGCCAGCCCGGGCAGGAAAGTCTGAGAGACTCTGATCTCCAACTAACCAGCAGAAAAGTAGCTCAAGTGGTAGAATGCTCACCTTGAGCTGAAGACCTCATGGACAGCACCCAGGCCCAGAGTTCAAGCCCCACAACTGACAAAAAAAATTCAACCCTTCAAAAGAAATGCACTAGGTCAGTGTAGCTGTTCTTAGCCTACAAAAAAAGTTGGTAACACTCTATCTCAAAAAACAAGTAGGAAGCCAGTCCCGGCAGGATAAATTCATGAGAATCTTACGTCCAATAAATATAGGTACATGACTATAATCCCAACAAGGAAGGCAGAGGTACGAGGCTCACCATCTGAGCCTAAAAAATGCAAACTTCTATTTGAAAAGTAAACTAAGCAAAAAGGGCTGGGGGCAAGGCTCAAGTGGTAAATTGTTTGCCTAATAAGTACAAAACCATGAGTTCAAACTCTAGTACTGCCATAAATAAACAGCTCCAAGCTTCCTTTCCATAAAATTCTGATTTACTGTTATATATACATAGTAAATCCGAAGCACTTTTTATTATAAAATTCTTAGGCGATTCTAATTAACTAGGTTTGAAAACTACTACATTAATAATCACTTTTCTAGAAATTATATCGCAAGATTTCTTTAAACAACTATCTTCTCTGTCCCAAGTATTTTTGTTTGTTTGTTTAATTTTTATAGTCATGGAGCTTGAACTCTGGGCCTAGGTGCTATCCCTGAGCTCTTCAGCTCAAACCACTTGAGCCACAGCACCACTTTCAGTTTTCCGGTAGTTAATTAGAGGTAAGAATCTCACAGACTTTCCTGCCTAGGCTGGCTTTGAACCTTGATCCTCAGATCTCTAGCTTCTGAGTAGCTATGATTACAGGCATGAGCCACCAGCACCCAGCTTTGCTCTTATGTATTAAACATTGGATTTTTAAGAATTTTGTATGGCAAAATTAATCATTATATCATTTGCCAAGACTCTATCTTCTACATTAAGTAAAGTCCTTAAGAGAGTGCTGTAATGTAAGAAGATCATAGAAAAACAACAACTACCCATTAAGGGACCCACCTACCTCATACTTTCTGTAGTTTACCAGCAAAGCCAAGAGGACAACAGCATCATATCCATGCTCCCTGCGACTTGGGGGATGGGAAAGTATCTGCAATAAGAACCAGAAAGACTTAATTTATAAATGTCAACTCCTGAGAAATAGATCAAGAAAATTTGAGATGAAAGTGTACCGGAAAAAGAAAAGGAAATTGACTGACCTGTAAAATTGCTTCAAATATGCTGTTGATCATTACATATTCCAGGATAGTGTTCTGGCTAATGTTGTCTGTAACCTGAATGTAATTAAAGGCTTTTTAAGGGTCTATTCCAAGACTGTCATATCACATATGTATATCTTATCAAAGCATTTAAGAAGGAAATAGGAATATTAAAACAAACTCTTTCATATCTCTTTCACAAGTACCCCAAAGCCACCAGAGTCTGAATAGGCAGATAGCAGATAATATATACGAGTATAGGAAATTTGCAAATTAAAACTTCCTAACTATATACTCATGGCACTCAGGAAGCAGAGGCAAGAGAATTTACACTGTGAGACTCTACCTCAAAATAAAAAAAAAAAATCTAGCCAGGCACCTGTGGCTCATGCCTATAATCCTAACTACTCAACAAGCTGAGATCTTAGAATCTCAGTTTAAAGCCAGCCAGTGAGACACTTATCTCCAATAAAAACTACCAAAAAGCCAGAAGTAGAGCTGTGGCTCAAGGGTAGAGTGCTAGCTTTGAGCAAAAGAAGCTCAGAGATAGCGCTCAAGCCCCAAGTTCAAGACACACACATACACAATATCTTCCTAAATCTTTGAACTTCTTGTTGTTTCTCTCACAAATTCTGCTTAACAGTTTCAGAGATTTTATTCCTCAAACATGAAGAGGTCTATGAACACAAGTCTTCAAAAGTGCCAGGGAGAGGGAACCACCTGAAATTGCTGAACAACTTTTTTTTTTTTGGCCAGTCCTGGGCCTTGGATTCAAGGCCTGGTAACTGTCCCTGAGCTTCTTTTGCTCAAGGCTAGCTGGCACTCTACCACTAGAGCCACAGTGCCACTTCTGGCTTTTTCTGGTTGTATGGTAATAAGGAATTGAACCCAGTGCTTCATGCATGCTAGGCAAACACTCTACCACCAAGCCACATTCGCAGCCCTCACTTATTTCACTACAAAGCTTAGGTAAGCCTCTAGGTATAAAATCATAGCTAGCAAAATAAAACTAGAATCACAAGAACATTTTCAAATGAAACCTTCTGAGAAAGACAAAGGTGACAATCCAGAAGACAATAGTCTTCTGAAATGATCTCTTCTAAAATGTTAAGTATCACATAGCTTAATTTCCAGTAATCAAAATTGAATGTAAGCTAAGTACTGATGGCTCACATCTGTAATTGTAGCTACTCAGAAAACTGAGATATGAGGATCACAGTTCAAAGCCAGCCCAGGCAGTAAAGTCCGTGAGACTCTGATCTCCAATAAACCACTAGAAAACCAGAAGTGGCACCATGGCTCAAGTGGTAGAGTACTTGCCTTGAGCTAAAGAGCTGAGAAACAGTGCCCAGGCCCAGAGTTCAAGCCCCACAAGACCCTCCCCCCAAAAAAGGAAGTGGCACTGTGGTTCAAGTGGTAGAGTACTAGCCTTGAACACAAAGAGGCTCAGCAGTGCTCAGGCCCTGAGTTCAAGCCCCACAAGACCCCCCCCAAAAAAAAGTGCATGCAACTAACTTCCTCCTATACATTCAGATGCAAGGAGTAACAGTATCTCTAAGGTCTGTCCTGGGAATCGAAGCAGGCTCCTCCCTTCTCTTGATTCGGTCTCCTCCCAGTACCTCTGTCACCTAGGTAACTGGTGGCACACCTGGGCAGTCACCTCCCCCTCCACCAAGGTCATATCCTGGGCTGCCCCTATCCTGCCTCCCAACCAAGGAAGGGTCCCAGGCCCTGAGGTCACATCCTCATCCAGTGTGGGCATACCTTCCCTCACCTGGCCACGTCTTCTCCCCCTGCCCCTTCCCTACTTAAACCCAGGTCACACCTCAGCCCAACCTTCAGCCATACATTTCCCACCTTGTACCATGCGGCAGTTCAGTAAATAAACTTCTCTTCCTACCTGAATACCAAGTGGTGTTCTCTTTACCCGTTACCTAATTAAACCTACCTATTTATCTAACAATATCCAAGAGTTCTTTTTCTCTTTTCTTTCTAATTTTGAGTTCAAGAATTCAAATAGGCCGGGTGCCAGTAACTCATATCTGTAATCCTAAGTAGGCCAGGTGCCAGTAGCTCATGCCTGTAATCCTAGCTACTCAGGAGGCTGATATCTGAGGAATACAGTTCAAAACCAGCCCACAAAGGAAAGTCTATGAGACTCATCTCCAATTACCACCAGAAAACCAGAAGTGGCACTGTGGCTCAAGTGATAGAACACTTGCCTTGAGCTGAAGAGCTCAGGGACAGCACTCAGGCCCAGCGTTTAAGCCCCAGGACCAACCAAAATAAAAAAAAAAAAATCAAACTTGCCCCTGCTGTCAATTAACATCTTTGACAAACATAGATGGGTCACTTACCGTCACTAAACAAAGAAGTAGTTTCAGACATAAGCTCTTCAGACTTTCAGAACCTTCTGCACAAAGCAATGAATCCAAACTCTCCATCAAGTTCTAAGAAATAAACCCATTAACCATTAAAGATAAACATAAAAAGAACTCAAAAACTGTCCAACTCTGGGTTATGTTACATAGGATAGTGTGAACAACACAGAATAAAGTAACCATGTCATTCCCCTAATCTAGGCCTTGTAAGATCAAAGAAAAAGAACTTCAAAGTCTATTACATTTGGGGAAAATGCTTTAGAACTATACAGAATAAAGAATTCTCACTAGGTGCTGGTGGCTCACGCCTGTAATCCTAGCTACTCAGGAGGCTGAGATCTGAGGAAGGATCACGGGTCAAAGCCATCGTGGGCAGTAAAGTCCATGAGACTCTTGTTTTTGTTTTTGTTTTGTCAGTTGTAGGGCTTGGACTCTGGGCCTGGGCACTGTCCCTGCGCTCTACCGCTTGAGCCACAGCGCCACTTCCAGTTTTCTAGTGGTCTACTGGAGATAAGAGTCTCACAGATGTTCCTGCCCAGGCTGTCTTTGAACCTCGATCCTCAGATCTCAGCTTCCTGGGTAGCTAGGATTACAGGCATGAGCCACTGGCTCCTGGTTCTGTGAGACTCCTCTCCAATAAACCACCATAAAACTGGAAGTGGCACTATGGCCCAAGTGGTAGAGCACTAGCCTTGAGTTAAAGAGCTGAGGGACAGTACCCAGGCCCAGAGTTCAAGCCCCATGAACAAAAAGAAAAAAAAAATTCTCTCTCTTACCAACGGAATCTTTGCAACCCATTATAATGGTTAAATCATTGTATATAAATTTAATAGCTGGTTTTATAAGGGGTTTGCATATGTGGTACTGGTGCTTGAACTTATTTATCGCTGCATTCTTACTTGGATTCTTTGCTCAAGGCTGGCTCTCTACCACTTGAGCCAGGTTTTTGCTGTTTAACTCAGTCTCTTAAATATATCTACCTGGCTGGCTTTGAACTGTGATACTCAGATCTTGGCCTCGTGAGTAGGCACAATTACAGAAAGGAGTCACAGCTACTATAATGGAATTTGGGGGTCCGGTCAAGGGGCCTGAACTCTGGGCCTGGGCGCTGTCCCTCAGCTCTTCAGCTCAAGGCTAGCGCTCTACCACTTGAGCCACAGCGCCACTTCCGGCTTTTTTTTTCGCTTATGTGGTGCCGAGGAATCAAACCCAGGGCCTCAGGCATGCAAGGCAAGCGCTCTACCACTGAGCCACCTTCCCAGACCACTATAATGGAATTTGAACTCAGAATCTCATGCTTGTAGGCAGGCTACCATTTGAGCCAATCTCTAGCCTTCATTATTTGTTAAAGAAAGCATATCATTTAATGCAGCACATTAAACAAATGATAAAGACAATATCACTTACAACTGGCCACCACTGGCCATATGTATGCTCAAATAAAGCAAACTTGTGTCCATCCTGGTCAACTCCATTTAGCAATATGAACAGAACTTATCATTTTCATTAAATATCAGTTTTTAGACCCAAATTAATTAAAAGATGAAACCTTAGCTAGACACTCACACATGTAACCCTAGCTACTCAAAAGGCTGAGATCTGAGGATCATGGTTTGAAGCAAGCCTGGGCAGGAAAGTCTGTGAGGCTCTTATCTCCAATTAACTACTCAGAAAATGCCAGACAAGGTGGTGTGGCTCAAGTAGTAGAGTGCTAGCCTTGAGCACAGAGAGGCATAAAGAGGCTTAGGAACAGCACCCAGGCCCTGAGTTCAAGCGCTAAGACTGGCCAAAAAAAAAAAAAAAAACAGGAGAAACCTTTATACTACAACAGAAAAAGAGGGAAAAAATTCTACATTAATTAAAAGAGAAGAACAGTTGGAGAATAAAGAGTTGGCATGCCAGAAAGCCAAACTAAAGGTTCAAAATAAACTTTTTCAGTTCAATTCAATAAATATATAAGCTTTAGTCTGTACTAAATAGTATGTTTCCAAAGGATGTAAGAAAAATAAAGCCTTGATTCTTGCTGACAAAGTGGTTTTAGTCTAATAAGAGAAAAAAATAAGCAAATAGTTACAATTCAACTTCTTTTGGGGGGGGAGGGCCGGTCATGGGGCCTGAACTCTGGGTCTGGGCACTGTCCCTCAGCATTTCAGCTCAAGGCTTGTGAGCCACAGGGCCACTTCCAGCTTTTTCTGCTTATGTGGTGCTGAGGAATTAAACCCAGGGCCTCATGCATGCAAGGCAAGCACTCTACCACTGAGCCACCTTCCCAGCCCT